CGGACTGCGATGGTGCGGGTGGCTCCTGCATTTTTCCCATGGCTCGTCTCGATTCGGCTTCGCTCACTTGCGTTAGGCTCCGCTCGGCTGGACTCGACGCTGCTCGACTATAGCTTTCCTCTGGCTAAGCTCAGCACAGCACAGCTTAGGTCAGTTCTGTACCGTAAAGCGTCTGCAACAAACAAGGCAACTGACATCATCTTCTCACCACTTTTCTAAAGAAAAATATCCTATCAAAACAGTCGACTCAATTCAACACCTAATTGCATTATTCTTACATTAGAGCCAATCTTCATTCACGACTTCAGAAGCACGGCGCAGAAAATTATCTTTAATGTTTGTCTCGTCTCTTGAAACAACGTTCCTTTGAAAATCTGTAGTTCGTTTACCGAAGCAAATAAATTGTCTTTAACTCAGAAGCGAACATTTCTGGTTTTAAGAAGTCGCCAACTTGATTTTCTTGGTACTTTTCGTCATCATTCAACTATATATGGGAAAAGGGCAAAGATATTCTGGATCTCATGATACCGGGCGCAGATTTTACTTCACCTCCATCTACAATTGCTATTGCTTTTTTTTAACGAAAATAAATCAAAGCTCCACGGTCACTCCAAATTTACAAAACCCTTCCATTTGTGTTTTCTTTGGAGCTACGCAACGATCAACTAATGCCACGCCCTCGGCCCTTTATAATTATTTTGCAATTGGAAAAGTTATCGATTTCTACTTCCTTTGTGTATTCCCAAAATTTACATGAACGTTTGGACCAGTAATCTGTAGTTGTCCAACGAGCAAAAGAACATTAGGGTAAGTTTTAAATAAAAAAATCATATTTTTATTATATGTTAATGGAATTATAAAATTGTATGCTTTAACATATTTATTAGTAAACAATGTAGTTATTAAAATAATAAGATGATCAATTATTAGATCAACAAATTTGTATTCAATTAGCGATATTTTAAAAGAAGCTTCGATATTAATACATCAGGAGAGAGACAAGCTGCTGTTTCGCTCATCTGACCTTAGCGCTCACCCGTGATACAATGGCGGGAATAATATCCTTCATTTATACCTGATGCTACTGGGAGTGAAACTTTTTTGTGACGTTACGAATTGTAAATAACGAAACTGAATCTTGAATAAAACACCTGGATAGAAACTAAACTCTCATGATGATATAGTTTCGTTCCCTGAACGAAACTAAATTCCCAGCCGCAGTATTTTAGTTCCAGAGCCAGTTTTGTTACTCGCCAATAGATTTCTTCTCCGCGCTAAGGACTTAACTTTTAGTTACGTAATTTAGTTTCTATGCACAATAAACAGTAACGAAATGTCTAATTTTTCTTTGTTTTGTGTCTGTTACCATTCTTGCAAAAAACAATGTTTTGACGTTGACTGAAAAATGCAAATGATTGTGATATTTCGCATTCTTACGCAACGCGTACCGACTGAATTCTCACACTCAGTGCATCATTGCTTACGACACTGTTGGGGTCACTGTTGGCAAGGCTTCTTCCAGCCGTAAAAATGTTGATGTTCGCGGGCTGAGTAATGGAAAAAAAATTCTTGGAACAAAATTGACCACGCATGGTCCATGGCCTATTTGTTAGGGTACTGTCCCACCATTCGTCTGGCATTGATGGGAGGACCCTCGGAAACTACCGATCAGAGGAGTCGGCGACTAGAATTCGCCGCCAGGCAGCGGCCTTCTTCGGAAGTCAAGAGGACCTCCCGGCCCGAGTCGCTGCCGAGACAACGGGAACTTTGCCGCTTAACAAATTCAGACGACGACAAAGCTTATCAGTGAAGAGCAAATTATTGTGGAACCTTTTTTTAAAAAAAAATATTTATTCTAGCTTGGCCATTGGCCCTCAGTAGCCGCATAAGAAAATATTATGGAACCGGAACGAAAAATGTCTGGACGCACCAATGTGCGCACAGACGTGTCTGTTATTACACCGCAGTACGAAGTGGTTTGTCTTTTCTGATAGATCCCCTAACGCATTTATTGTTCCGTTAACATTTACGTGAAGACCGTCACGTCTCGTCTTTGGACCGTCCATAAATTACGTAACGCAAATTTGAAGTGTTTTCAATACCCCCTCCCCCTTTTAATGCACCCGTAACTCACGCTTGAACCCCCGTAAATAATTACGTAACTCTTGCGACAGCACTCCCCCTTGTAAATGCAAGAAGTGAAATTAAATTATAGCACAGTAAAAACAATTTGTATTTATTTCACTTATATTGTATATTGAAGTAATTAATGATAATTAAAGTACAAATTAGTTCGCGATGGTGGCTGCACCTAACAATACATTGGGGCAAATTGTGAGGAAAGGAAGAACGGATGGAGAGGGGAGGAAGAATGCTGAGACGAGAAACGGCTGATCACACGCATGATGATGCAAGAGCGAGAGTCTACAGCGCCAATTGAAATGGATTCTACATTACTCTTTATATCAGTTTTGAATATTTTCTTCGAAATTTTACCGATTAAAAAAAGTTCAAACTATTCCCATATATTGCAACAATTAACTACTAATAACTTCAATTTATGTTTTTAAAATAAATTAATTTGTTATTAATTTTTAATTCTAATTTAATGTTTCCGTTTAGGACACAAAAAGGAATTATTTCAGCAAAAGTTGAAAAATGTAAAACAACCCATATCATTGTTACGTAGTACTTAACTAATACCCCCATACCGCTATGTAACGCAGCGTAACACTGCCTCAGACCCCTCCCCCCTCTTCAGCGTTATGTAATTTATGGACGACCCCAAAGTGAATATTGCGCCCCGAGTTCCCAAGACCGTCAAATGCGTACACAGAGCTGTGAAACATCCGTGCACCGCATTTTGTGGCACATGGAAATTAGCATTGAGACCCAGACTTCTTCTTGAGTGGATTGAGAAAGTTTGTAGTATCTATAATACATGCTTGCGGTGATACAGTCTATACAATAAAATAAATTGTATTCGTTCATATGCAGTAAAATACAATGAGGATGATCCTCTCGTGGCCAAGCCTTTCGCTTGTCTTTCACCGAGGTTCCGGGTTCGATTCCCGTAGAATGTGAAATTTGTTACAACAAAACGAGTTTGCATGCTTTACAGAGGCTAGTCCAAACCCCTGTGAAGTGTCCTAAACCCTACCTCTAATCTAATTCCGTCCCAATTCTGGCCGTTGGGTAGTGACGCAGAAACCCGTAGTAGGATACGCAACTTCGCAGTCCACTTGACAACTGACTGCGATGAGACGTGACATTAAATGACAGACTATGTTAATGGAGGATTACTCTCCCGGGGCTTGAAGATGCGTTGCGTCAATTGAGACGCAACAAATTTTAAAAAAGATCACTTACAATAAAATGCAACATGATTAAGTAATTAGCCCGATATCAAATGTTTCAAATTGTTTTCCTAACAACAATATAATAGGAAACGAAGAAAAAGGTTTCAATGTAGTTTTCCATTTGCAAGCGCCTTTGATTATGAACAATACGGAATTCGCTG